AAAAAAATATAAGAATGATTTAATTCTCAAAAATTTTTTTCGATAATAATTAAATTTAACAAAGGATTATCTTCATTTTAAATTGCTAAAATTAAATAATTTTATTATAAAACATTATGTTAGAATTTCCATTTTGTATTTTTATTAATAGAACTAATAAATTTTTATTTATTGATATATAAAATAATATTTTAATAATATTGATATAATTAGATTAAAAAATTAATTTATTTATAAAATGATTAATGTAAATTACTTATAAAATATTTATTTTTAAATATATTTATTTATAAATATATATTTTGAAAATTATATTTCAACTTATTTTTATTTTTAATAGAATACTTTGAAATCATAATATAATTTTATTTTAAAAATTTTTCATGAAGGTAAATATTAATATATATATGATTATTAAATGTTAAAATTTTTTATCCTTATTCATATTTACATATAAATAATAAATTGTTTATATCCAAAAAATAATTATTAAGTTTAATTATTTATATAAATATTAGAAAATATATATTGAAAAGTAAATATTTAATGATAATGACTATTTATGTTCAAATAGTTTTTTTAATTTTTTTCTGTATTTTTTTAAAAAAATTAAATTAGTAAAAAAAAAAGGTTATTAATTAATCAATTTTAATATAAAAAAATGATAAGTATTTAACCTTTTTTTATTTTTTAATTTAATTCTTGAAAAAAAAATACAGAATAAAAAAAAAAACAATATGAAACAAATAATATATTATTATATAAAAAATATTGTGGAAAATAATAATAAAAATGCTATTTAAATATTGAAAATATTTTTAATAATAATTTCTATCTTTGAAAAGAAATTTAATAAAATAAATTATAAGTAAATTTATAAATTGAACAAAAAAATATGGAAAATATTAATTTTCTTTAATGCTAAATGTGTCATAATAAATTTAGTGAAAAAGGAAAACATATTCCAAGGATGTTACCTTCTTGTGGACATTCCTTATGTACCGAATGTATATAAAACAATATCGATTAATAAATAAGTTTTTATTGCCCAGAAGATTAGTATTATTATATTTAGAAAAAATAGTTTTTTTTTTTATTTTGAAATTTTAAACTTTTTTAAAGATAAACTTATGAAAATTACAATAATATAGATTAATTTCCAAAAAACTATTCATTCGTTCGTTTAATTGAAAAACAAAATAAATAAAATAAATAAATGCAATTAGGTTTAAATTTAAATATATTTTAAAATTAAAAAATAAAATTAAAGAATCTTAGATAGAAAAACCTCTTAAAAAATATTAAATAAAAAACAACTTTGTTTTGAGCATTAAAAACAAGTTGATATAGGTTTTTTTTTATAAAAAATAAAAAAATAAAAAAGTTAATATTTTTATAAAAAAAGTATGCGTAAATTGTCGAATAAAAATATGTGCAAATTGTGCATTATTTGGAAAACATAAAAATCATCATGTGCGTTGTGAAGAAGATGTTATGAAAGAAATCAGTATAAGAGCAGAATATTTAATATAAATTTTAGAAGTAATTGAAAAAAAAGAATATTATTTATAGGAAGAATCTCATATGGAAAATGTAAAAGAGTATTTATAGGCAAATTTTTAAATTGTAAAGTAGGATTTGTTAGATAAATTTGCGGTTTATAATTTATACTTATTTATTTGATATAAATAAATAAAAATTTAAACATTTGCTAATAAAAAATAGGAAATAGAAATTAATTTATAATAAAAGAAATTAGAATGTATAAATGAAATAACTTTACGATTTTAAGAAATATAATAAAATTGTATAAATTTTTTGCAAGAAACACCTAAAAGTTTGATACAATAATCATCAAAATGGAAATTATAGTAAAATAAAATATATATATATATATATTTATATTTATATTATATTTAATTATATTATATATAATTATATTATAATTTATATTTTTTTTATATAAATTAATATTTACATATATATATAATTTTATATACATATTTATATTTATATATTATTACATGTTTTTATTTTTTTATTATTTCTGTTAATTTTTCATAAAATCTAATTAATATAAAGATGAATTTTATTAACTTTTTTCTTATCTCTTGTTTTATTTATTTATTGAGTTTTTTATTTACTTTTTAATAAACAAAAACAATATAGATAATAATTTTTATATTTATATATACAAATAATATAAAAAATAAGAGCAAAAGAAAAACTTATTAGTTTATGTGATTAAATAAATTCTGATGATTTTCCTTTAGATTTAATGGTTGATAATAATGAAAAAAATGATATAATTTAATAAGGGTAAGAACTAATGAACTGTATAGAAAAAACAAATTAAAGTTTAAATAAATAAATAGAAGAGTTTAAATTTGAAAGCATTTAAGTAGATTTTATTTATAATTATAAAGATTTATTTAATAATTTAACTTACATATCTTAAAAATAAGACAAACAATTATCTATTATATTACATAGTAAGTTTTCTAATTTATTATCGTAAAATATTTAATTTATTTTACAAATTTAAAATAAAAAAAATATAAAAAATAGTTAAGATGAATAAATTCATAATAAGTTATTATTTCAATAAACAAATGTAAAAACATAAGATACAAACTTCAGTGATTCTTAAATTGAATAAATTAGAAAATAATCTTCAAACGAAAAAACTATAGCAAATACAGAATCAAATAGCAACAAGAAAAGCGCAGAAAAAAATAGTAAAAATTAGCAATATTTGTTTTCTACTAATGCTAAAAATAACATAAACGATAGTTTAGATAATGATCTTTTATTAAATAATAATGAAGACATATATGATTAATTACAGGAAACAGTAAAAAATATATAAATTATATATATATATATATATATATATATATATATATATATTTAAATATAATTTTATTTAAGATTGGTAAAGAAAGTATTGAAGATAATAATTAATCAAAAATAGTTAATGTTAGTTATTTTTAATTATTAGATAATATAGATTAAATGAATGTAACTAAAATGACTGATTTTACTGATAAAGTATAAGCATAAACGACTATTGATACAATGAAATCAACAAATGAAATAAATTCATTTTTTAAAAATGTTAAGTATTTAAATATTATTAAAGATATTTAAAAGGATTAAATTTTATTAGCAGATTTTACTTATGCAGGTACCTTTTTAAAAAAATTTAACTTACATATTTAATTCATTAATTATAAATAAAAGACATGGGAGATGAAGGACTTATTAGTTTGTGCTAATATCTTAAAAATAATAAATATTTAAAAATTATAAAATTATAAAGAAATAAAATTTCTAATAAAGGAGCTATTCATTTGGTTGATTAATTATAAAAAACTAATGTGGGTGTACTTAATTTTTAAGATAATATGATTACTGCAAATTTTTTATAGTATTTATTAGAAAATTATAAGCAATAAAAAGAATTTACAAAATTAGAAAATATATATTTAAAAAACAACTTAATGAATTAAAATAAAGTAATTAATATAATATAGGAAATCAAAAATACATATAAAATTAATATTTATATATGATTTAATTAAAAAAGAGAAATTGTAAATATATAATAAATTATAAATTTAAATTAGTTTTAATTAAATTAAAAAATATTTATATTATTATTTATTATAAATGAATAATAAAATATATAATTTGTAATTTTAACTATTTTATTTATCTTTTTATATTTTTTTATAAAAAAAATAATAATATTTTTATAAAAAATAAAAACAAAATATATAAATCATTTATTTAAACTAATAATATATACATAGTTAGTATTTTTTTTATCTGCTTTACTTAATATATTTAATCAAGATCTGTATTACATGTAGGACACTTTGTTTTCTTTTAAACGTTTAATATAAAAAATAATATACTTTATAAAAGAATTTACATAAAAAATAATTTTTATGACAAAACATAGTTCTAACTTGTTTTTATCTTAATAATCGTTAAATTAAATTAATAATTTTATATGATTTTCTTAATTTTCTTAAGTTTCTTCTATATTTTTTTTTTAAGTGAATTCTGAATTAATTTATCTAATAAGTAACTTATTAATCTAACCTTATGAATCCTCCAATGAACTAAATACATCTATTAAGAATAATTTTTTAAACGGGCTCCAATACAAACTATTATGTTTAATGAAATATAATAATATATTATTGCTAAAATTCATTATAAAAGTCTATTTGTTTGTTATTGTTCTCTAATACCATGATTTAAATTATTTAATCACTTAATTTATTCATATTCTTCTTAAATTTGTACTTTCTTTTTTCAGATAATATCCTGTTTTATTAGTTTATAAAATTTTAAGCAATAGGATTTGATGCAATAATATTTAATATTTTATGAGTATCTTAATTCACTATTCCCAATACACGATAACTTTAATAAAACAGTAAAAGATTTTTTCATTAGTATTAAATACTTAATTCAATTAAATCAATATACTTATATCTTAAAAATACAGAATTTTATTTTAAATAATCTATAAATATTATATATACCTAATGAACATTCAAATTTATAAATCGTTAAACTTAAACAGTATCAGATTTTATTACTATTTTTGTCAAATTTGAAATATCGCCGTTCTGTGTAAAACATTTGGATACATATATTTCTATTAAATTATTATTCTTTTACTACTTAATTAAAGAAAAGTTTTAATTTTTATAATTAGTATATATTTTTAATATATTTTATTTATATATAATTAATTCTATTAAAATTATATTAATTTATAGGAATATTAATTCTTAATTTTAAATAATATTTTTGATTTAAAAAATGTATAATAAATATACAGGTAGATTCAAAGCATTTGAGGTTCCATAAATAGAATAAAAACAAAAATTTTATCATATAAACTTAATATTTTAAAAAATTAATATATGTAGGGAATTTAAAAAAGTTTGCAAAAATTAATACATGATACTTTTCAAAATTTATAATTTATTAACATATGATTCGATTTAAAATTATATATTAGTATTTCAAATATTATCATGATACCTATATTGTTAAATATAAAATATTATTAACATTTTTTTATTTAATAAAAAACTAATCTCTGTTTAAATAATTTTTATTTAAAAGAAAATAATTTAAATTATTGAAAATATAACGTAAAATTTTTATTTTTTTTTGCAAATAATATTATAATAGACATAAATGTTTTAAAAAAAAAAAATAAGTTAAAATGGTTTTATTATTTCAGAAATTAAATAATATATAAATAATTTTTTAAAATAAATAAGAAAAAGCAACAATTTTAATTTATATAAATTTTTAATTAAATTATATATATATATATATATATATATATATATATATATATATATATATATATATATATATATGTTTTTATATATTTTAATACATAAATTTTATGTTCAATAATCAGTAATATTACTAAGATCAGATTCCACATCATTATCAGAAAAGCTAAATTATTCTTCATCTATAAAAATATTTTATTTACAAATATTTTTCTTAGGTTAATTATTAACAATTTCTATTTTAAGGATTGATTCGCTAATTTTAATTTCAGAGCCATTAGTAATTTCCTTTGGCTAGCTTTCTTTTCTAGGTTAATTTCTTTCTCTATAATCATGTAAGGACATCCAAGTTCCATTAGCGCTTTCTCTTATAGTGTCTCCATCTTTTATAAACCATTAATTATCACTTTATTTTTAATAATAAATTATTATGTATATTTAATTTATATTTAAATTTACATATATTATATAGTGGTTTATTTTCTTGAGATTGTATTAATATTTATTTAAACAGAGCACTCTTAAGATCTTCCTATTTTGTAAGTATTATCTTATAAATTTTCATTATAAATAAAAATATGATTTTATGGTTGATTTAAATTTATTATTAATTTCACAAAAGGTCTTTTTTTAATTTTAAAAATCTCCAAAGCACTTTATTGAGTGTAATTATATATTCTCTTTGTTTACAAAGCTTATATTTTTTATAATTCTTATTCTGTTAATCCATGGATTATTGAGGAGTTCGTTTTTTCTTGTAACAAATAATTTGTAAATTTAAAATCTTCTTCTCCTCTATTTTCTTCAGCTTCTATTTCTACATCCATACTATCTGTATTTTTTATGACATTTTTTTATTATGAATAGTTATCAACATCAACTACATGGAATTATGTTTCTGCTCCAATTAAAAAAACTTGTCCTTTTTCAAGTTTTTAAGGATAATCAAATTTTATTTTAGTAAAGGTACTTTAAGCACTTCCAATATCAACTAAATAAAACGCTGACTTAGGTTTAATAAATTTCCAGATAATTCTAAGCACATGCTCAGGGAACGAAATAAGTGAAGAGAATTTATTATTTTTTTTTGTTCCTTTAAGGAAAGTGAAGAAATCTAAACTAATTTTTTTTGGAACATTAAAACCATCCTTATAAATAATTTTGCAATGAATTCTTGAAATAGCTCTATCAGTATTAGGAAGAACAATATCATTAGGATGAACTTCAATACTATTTTCAGGATCTTTAGTAGAATCTTATCTTCCAATAATAATATCATTTGTTTCAGTATTTTTTTTTGATGCTACCATTCCTTAAGGAGTGATATAATAAATAGTATTCTGATTATTATTTTAATTTGTTTTCATTACTTGTATTTTCATGTAAGGAGCATTATAGTCTACTGTATTTGGATAGTTTTATTTTTTAAACGTATAATATTTATTTTTTATATCTTAAGGAAATTCATTTTTTATTACATTTGTTTAATTTTAATAATCTAGTTGGACCGAATTATTATTTCTATTATATACGTTTATTGAGATATTGTTTGGAGTTGTTTAAGTGTTAGGTATTACTTAATTGTTAGTTTACGCGAAATTATTTATTTGTATATTTTCATTTGATTAATTATTGGTTATTACTTAAATTTAATTGCTTGGATTATTAGTATTTTAATATATTAATAATTAATTATTTTAGTTTATTAAAGGAGGGTTTTAATTATTGCAGTAAAGTTAATTTTATAACATTTAGTTTCCGCTTTAATCTAATATATTCTAAAAAGCTTATTAACATAATAAATCAGGAATTGCTTTTAATATGTTTTGATTGGATAATTAGTTAAAATTCACTTAAGAAAAAATATTTTATTATTATTAATATAAATATTATAAGTATAAATTATATTAGTTACATAATTATTATTGATTCATATATTATTATTAATATAATTGTTATTATATTTATGGAAATTATTAGACATTACAAAAACTAGGCATATTATATTATTATAATTGACTATTATATTAACCCATTTGAAAAGGATTTTCTATTATTAATTATATATTATTAAATTAGTTATAATATATATTTTGATCATGTAAATTTTTTTTCATTTGATTATTATGAATTATATTATTATTTATAGAGTTATTATACATAGATATATAGTATTAATTCCATTATTGTTATTATTGTAAAAATTATTATTGCTGTTGTTGTTAATTTTCAATTGAATTTTACACATTTTATTGTTCATATAAAAACGGATTATTAAAATTATTTATATTTTCCAATTAGCTGTTTGTATTATTTTTTATTGTGTTATTCAAATTTTATTAGATTAAGTTGTTATTGAGTTAGTCGAAATTTTCCATTTTTTTGTTATAATGGTTTTTTTTTTTTTAATATTATTATTATTATTAATTTTTTTTCTATAATTTTTTTTTATTATTATTATTTAACTTTTATGTTTTAAAAAATTAATTTAATTAATCATCTATTGATTATTTATGATTTATAAAATAACTTAAGAAATTAATTAAAAAAAGATTAAAAGCAAAAAAAAAATATCATATATATTGTGAATTACAACCAAACAATAAAAAAATAATAATAATTTTGATTTTTTTTAAAAATAATATATAAATGTATTTTAAAATTTTATATAATAGTACAAATAATTTTTTTAAATTATAAAAATATATATAATTTAAATATATTATATATAATAATTAAAAGTGAAAAAATACATTATATATTTTAATATAAGCAAATTTAAAAATAATATTGTATTCTTATAATATATATAAAATTATATCTAATTTTTATATATAATTTCTTTTTAACAAAATTATAATTTTATTATATCATATTAAATAAATTATGACGTTTTCTTATAAAAAAATACTTTTATAATATTTTTTTTTATTATTATTTTATAAAAAAAATTTCTATTAAGCAAATTTGATTTTATAAAAAAAAAAAATAGTTAATTGGTTAAATAATTTTTTTTTATACTTAAAATATTATTATTCAATTTATTAATAATTTTTATTAACTTATTTATATAGGTATATAAAAACAATATACTATAATCAATTATTTATTTTGCACTCTAACCTATATAAATTGATTAAAAGATTATTATTTTATATGATTATAAAATGATTTATAAATTATTTAACATATTTTCTTTCCAATAAAAATAAAATAATATAATCCTAATCAGTAAAATAAAATAAAAAAATTATATAAATTAAAAATATAATTTAAATGTATAAAATTAATAATTTATTTATTATTAAATGTAATAATTGTTAATATAGATAATAAATTATATAAATTTCAACTAATATTACTTCTTTAAAAATATAATATATTTATTTTTTATTAAAATATATATAAATGCAATGTATTAAATCTAAAAAATAATTTATATTTAATTTTCAATGACAAAAAACAATATTGTTAGTCAATATTTATATAATTGATTCAATATTAATCCAGTAATAATTCCTTTTTTTTATTTTTAAATATTTAAATTATATTTGTATTTGTATAATATGGATATATTTTTTTACCACAAAAAAGACAATTGGCTATATACATTTAATTAACATAATTTAAAAGACAAGTTTAATTACAATTCGGACAATTAACATATTTTAGTGCATTTTATTATTATTATTTATTCGGAATCCCATTTATCGAATTGCAATTAGTACATTTTAATTAAGTAGCATTTCCTTCAAATATCAAATTAAAATTACATTTGTAACATTATATCATTTTTTTATTTAGCTTATGGGGTTAATTTGCTATTTAAATTGAACCATCTGGATTTTAAATAACTATTGTTTTAGTTTATAATTCCATTTATATAATAATTTATATATATTATAATTTTTATTTTCTTGATTTTTTTTTTATGTAAATTTATAATATATTATTTATTAAAATTTAATTTTTTTTTTTAATTTAATTAATTAATTATTAATAAATTAATACAGTTATATATTTGAGATAAAAATATTAAAAAAATAATATATATATATATATACATAAAAAAAAAATATTATTTATTTAAAAATTTCTCATTTTTTTAAAAAAATGAAATTTATAATTTAAAACTTAAATATAATATAATATATAAATAATTTTTTTTTAATTCTTTTTATTTTTATGTAAAAAAAATAAAATAAAAAATTAAAAAAATAAAATAATCATTCTTATTATTCTTCAGCATCATCTTAAAATTCAGAAGTCCATAAAGTTAAATTATCTCTAATCAACTACATAATAGTAGTAGCATCTTTATATTAATCTTCTTAAATACTTTCAATATCTCCAATAGCTTCATCGAAGGCAGTTTTTGCTAAATTACAAGCTTTAGAGGGATCATTCATCACTTCATAATGGAAAACAGAGAAATTTAAAGCTAAACCAAGTCTAATAGGATGAGTTGTACTTAATTAAGTATTGGCAATTTCAGAAGCTTTATTATAGCTATCTAAAGCACCATCAGCAGCTTTTTTATGAGAGTCTCCAGTTGCATATTCAGCAATATATCTATAATAGTCACCTTTCATTTTTAAATAGAAAACTTAAGCTTCTGCAGTCTTTTTTTTTTTTTTTAATATTTTTATGTTTTTGTTTTGTTTTTACTGTTGATTATTTAACTAAATTGGATGATAATAAATCAAGAATATCATTACAATATTTATTTAATTCAACTTCGATTTTCTATTTTTAACCTGTAAGTAAATTTAAATGTTTAGATCCTTTAGATTCTTCCTTTTGTTATATTGCAGATATACTTCTCCATGCAGATCTACGTGAACCTACTGTGTTTTTGTAAGCTACTGATAATAAGTTTCTTTCTTCTACTGATAGATCTTATCCTGTTAATACTACTTGTTTCATGTATTCTAACATATCTTCAAATCTTTCGGTTTGTTCAGCTATTTTAGCCATATAAATATATTCGTCTCTGCTTAATCCCATTTTTATTATTTTTATTTTTTTTTAGTTTTTATTTAAATAGAATTTTTGATTTTTTATTAAATAAAGATTTTTATTTTTATTTAAAAAGATTTTTTTAATTTTTTTTTTTTTTCTTCTTTTTTCCGCATTCTGTTGTTAATTAGTTTTATTTTAATTTTTTCTTATATTTATATATATTTATTATTTTATTTTTATATATTAGAAATTATTGACATATAACAAATATAATATTATAAAAAATATAACTAAATATAATATCAGAATTAAATTAATATTATTATAAAAAATATATCAGGATAAAAATTAGATTTTTTTTATATTGCAAAAAAAGAATATTAATTTAAATAAAAAAAAATTATATTTTTTTTTTAAACGCAAACAACAAATAAAAAAACCCAAAAAAAAATGAGTCATTTCCTATTTTTTTTTTTTTGGATTTTGAGTTTTTTAAAAAAATACCGAAAAAGTATTTTATAAAAATTTAAAAAATAAAATAAATTACTAATTTTAATTTTATTTAAACCTTATTTGGGATAATGCTATTAAGAATTCAATTATCATAAGTTTTTGCTGAGTATTCTTTATATTCCAATATGTTTTTTTATTAATTTTCAAATTATATTAATTATTTTTATTATTTTCTAAAATTAATCTTTTCCATTGTTATCTTAAATCTTATTTTTTACAAATAATATTATAGAACTTTTAATTTTTTTTTACATTGTTTTAATAGTATTATTTATGTAGTTAATCTAGTTTTGATTTTGTTATATATTTAATTATTTCTCTTAAATAAATTTTTAATTTTATATAGATTTTAAAAGAATGAGAAAAAAGAGGTGATTCTTAAATTATTATTCTTTAGAAATACGAATATATAATACATTTAGAATTAAATGTTAGTACTTACTTAAAACGCATTTTTTTATGTTTGATTTATAATATGTTTTTAATTATAAAATTTTATTCTCAAGCTAAATTGAATGCTAATATGAAAATTCTTATGAATATTTTACAAATTATTTTATTTTAAGTAATTATTTTTTATTTTTTGTATCTCTATTAATAATCTTCTTATTTAATGAAAGCTATTTAATATTTTATGATGCACATTATTTATTATAGATAATTTTAATTCTAGATTTAAACAATAATTTTTTAATTTTGTCACATAAATTTTAATTTATTATTTTAGTTTAATTATCTAAAAGAGTATATATATATTTATTTATTATTTATTCTATTAATAAAGGATTTATAAAAAATATATTAAATAAGATATTTATGAAAATAAAAAAAATAATTTTATGACTGAATTTAATTTTATTTCATTTTTAAAAAAAATATTAAAAGAAAATATTATAGAAAAATAAACAAAAATTATAAATTATTATAATTTGTTAAAAAATATATCAAATTAATTTTCCACAATTAATTATTTATATTTAACAACAAGGTTATTCTCCATCACAATCCACATTTTCGATTTCTTAAATAGCATCAAGCCCTTTAATAACAACTCCAAAAGCTTTATTTTGTTCATCTAACCACTAAGCGCTTTTAAAAGTAAGAAAGAACTATGCATTTTGATTATTAAAAAGAGAAATTATTCCACGTCTATCATGCTTTATCTTAGAAGATTCATAAGAAGTCCTAGTATCAAATATATTAGTTTCATTTTAAATAGAATCAATCTAAAAGATAAATCCTTTAAGAATTTTATTAAAAAATCTATTTTTAAAATATTAGTTTTGGAATAGACTTTTCATTTTATTTGAAATATGAGGTTCAATATTGGCAAATAATTCAATTTAAATTTAGAAAATTTAATCTTTATCACCTATTTTAATATCTAAGAAAACTATAGGATTTAAATAGTAGGAAAAAGCATGAATATTTTCTTTAATATTGGAAGAAATATATTTTTCTTTTTTATTTTAAAATAATTATTTGCAAAATTTTTTCTCTTTTTATTCTTCATTTTTAATTCTTTTATTTAGATCTTCTATAGATTTTTTTATTTCTTCATTTTCTTGTATTTATTTTGCTTTATGTAAACTTTCTTAAGCTTCTTCTAATTTATTTAAGTTCATTTCTGCCATTCCTTTCCTGTAATAAGCTTTAGGATTTTCTTTGCTATTTTTAATCACAAAATTACAGTATTATATTACTTTTTCCCATTCTTAAAGTTAATATGCTATCTTTTATTTTATATTTTATATTTTGTATTTTGTATTTTGTATTTTATATTTTGTATTTTATATTTTATATTTTATATTTTATATTTTATATTTTATATTTTATATTTTATATTTTGTATTTTTATTTTTACTGCTGCTTTATTTAAATAACATGCTGCTTTTATTTCATTTTCTTATTATTTTTATATTGCATCTTCAATATAATCTATAGCTTAGTCATATAAAATATCAGCCTCTTCATAATTTTTTAATTTAAATTATTCGTTTCCTTAGATTTTGTATTTTTTTGAAAGCTCTATTCTTTCTTCGTTCGTAAATTCGAATTTTGTTTTAATTCTATCGTAAAAATCAAGTAGTTATATTTGATATTTTTGCAAATTGTTTTCTTTATTTTATACTATAAATTCAGTTTTTTCACCTTTTTACATTCCTTTTATACATTCATCAAATTTCGGAATTTCTTCTTAACCTAATTCATATGAATAAGGTTTATCTGTTTATTCATCTTCAATGTCATCGTTAAAAGACTTTATTTTATAATATACTTTTTTTTTTTTTTTGATAATATTTTAATATTTAAATACCTTAAACTATTTAACCATCATTTGGATATTATTCTGTTTATTCAAGAGAAGGTTAAATTACAGTTTTTTTAAGCATTTTATAACTTTAAATATATTTATTTTATAAATTATTTGTTTATTCCAAATAATATTACAAAAATTATAAATTATTTATTTAATAGAACTTATGAAATTATTTATGGTATTTATTATTACAACTCTTTTTATTTAATTATTATAAAAGTAAGAAAATAATTAGATTAGCTAGTTAATAATAAAAATAAAAAAGAGAAAAAATATAATTTATATTGATTATTTCATTTATAAGACTTTATTAATGAATATTTTCCGATTTTTCTAAAATAATTTTAATGATAAAATCAATAAAAATATAATTATAATTGGGAAAGAATACATAATCAAAATTTAAATACTAAGAATTTATTATTAAAAATTAAATTATATATAAAAAGCAAGTGTATTTTATATATTTTTTTATAAAAATATCAATCAACTTTTTAGAAATTAAAAATAAGTATAAATATATAAATTAAGAAGAAAAAACTAAAAATTAAAAAATAAAATGGAATTAAACAATAGATTTTTAACAAGTTTTTAGCATTATTAACCAAAAGAAGTAAAAAATAATAAATAAATTATTCGAATAATAAAATGACTAAAATAAATTAATCAAAAACAAAATAAATCAAATACAAAAAATAAATCTTTTTATTTTAAAAACAATAGAAATATCGTTTTACAATATCTCTTCGTAAACTTACAGAGGGTTATGAAAAAAATGATGATAATAGTGTATAAAGAATAAATAAGTAAAGAAATGACTATATTTAAGTAAATTATATTTATATACATGAAGAAATTAATAATAAATTTTATATAAATATTTTAAGAATTGTAGAGAAAAAAATGAAGAAGATCCTTTGTAAGAAATAAAATTAAGACAAATGGATTTAATGTATCGATTATATTTTACTGAAGACACGAAATTAAGAAAATTTATGTAAGATATAAAAGCTGCAGTAAAAAAAATTGGAATAGAAATTGTAAGATAAGATGATCACAACGACTAGTAACATAATTTGAGATGTTTTGGATATTATTAAGGAATATACAAAATATTTAAATAATCTTGGACGAATAGTGACGAATGTTATATAAACTTTATACATATTATGAGAAAAGATTATGGCGACAAATATAAAATGGAAGAAGATTATGATTTATATTAATAATTAATAGGCCTTTTATTAACTGTAGATAAAAAGCAGGAATAAATAATGAAGACAGGAATATTAGATGAAAGGGATGAAAGTAAATAAAATGTTATTAATGAATATAAAATGGAATCATATCAAGATAGTTTTTTATCAGGATATTAAAATAATATATTAGATTTTAGATTTGGGTATGATATTAGAGATGATTAAAGAGATGATGAATATATTATTATTAGATAAAAATAAAAGTTTAATTATGTAAAGGAATTTTTTGAAAGATATGAAGACGTCCTTAAACAGAAATCGAGCGATTTTTGGTAATTTTTACTTTTTGATGTCCTTAAAGCTTTGTGTGATAAAAAAAATTCTGATGAGTAACTTTAAGAAATTTTAATGGGATATTTAGGTGATTTTGAAGCTTGTAAATTCTTGCTATAAAATAGAAAAGAAATTATTATGTATTTATATAATAATCATTTTAGTACTGATAAATAAGTTACATCTGGAAGCAGACTTTAAAATGATAATAAATCAAAAGGATTAACTAATTATGAAATTTTAATTTCTATTGTATATTTAAAATATCTATATTTTTATTATAAATAAAATTAATTTTTATAGGGAATTAAAGATGTTGATATAGAATAAGAAAGCAGATTAGGATTGAAAAAAAGAGATATTGATCAGAAAGTAAAATAAGCAAAAGAAAGAAATTAATATGATGTAGATGAAGAATTTACAGAAATAGATTTTATTAATCAAGATTAAAATTAATTAGTTTTAAAAATACCCACTTTAGAAAAAACTGATTACCCTGATTATATTTAATTCAAAATTTCTCCTATGCCAAGAGGATTAGCACCTTCAGGAGAATTAATTTAAATTTAAAATGCTTTACCTTAGTGGGCAGAGGTATTTTTTTTAAAATAAATAAATATATAATAATAATAATAAAAAAAATATAGCAAGCATTTGAAGGAATAAATTCATTAAACCTAGTTTAATCAAAAGTTCATCCTACAGCATTTAAAACAGATGAAAATATTCTTGTATGCGCCCCTACAGGAGCAGGTAAAACGAATATAGCTTTATTGACAATATTAAGAGAAATTGAAAGGCATGTGAACCCTTCAACTAAAAAAGTAATAGACTTTGCATTTAAAATAATATATATTTCGCCAATGAAAGCTTTAGCGGCAGAAATAGTAGATAAGTTTTAAGGGAGATTGAGTTATTTAGGAATAAAATGCCGAGAATTAACAGGTGATATGTAGATGTCAAAAAAAGAAATTGAAGAAACACAAATCATTATTACTACTCCTGAAAAATGGGATGTCTTTACTCGTAAAAAAAATGAAGTTGCGGAAACTTTAAAGCTTCTAATTATTGATGAAATTCATCTTTTAAATGACGAAAGAGGCCCCGTTTTGGAATGTTTGGTGTCCAGAACTCTTTAGAATATAGAAAGATAGTAAAAAACAGTCAGAATGTTAGGACTTTCTGCTACTTTACCAAATTATTTAGATGTAGCATCATTCTTGCATGTTAAAAAGGAATCCGTTTTCTTCTTTGACGCTTCTTATAGACCAGTTCCTTTAATGTAGAGATATATAGGAGTAAGAGAACCTAAATAGACTTCGTTCAAAATTCGCAGAAAAAAAATTGATATATATAACGAATTAACTTATACCATATCTAAAGGAGTGCTTGAACATAAAAAACAGGTTCTTATTTTTGTCCATTCAAGAAAAGAAACTATCGTAACAGGATAATATTTACTTAAAATGGCTTAAGATAGGAACGAATTGCACCTAATGAAGTCTCTAGAAAAAGATAAACATACACTTCCAAAAATCTAAGATAAGGAATTGACTAAATTGGCACCTTATGGTATAGGATTTCATCATGCTGGTATGTTGAGAAAAGATAGAAATTTGGTCGAGAAGATGTTTTTGGATGGAAATCTTAGAATTTTGTGTGCTACTGCTACTTTAGCTTGGGGTGTGAATCTACCAGCTTATTCTGTTATTATTAAAGGGACTGATGTTATTGACCCAAGTAGGGGTGGTACTTAGGATTTATCAGTTTTGGATATATAATAAATGTTCGGAAGAGCAGGAAGACCTTAGTTTGATTAGAATGGAGAGGTCACTTTAATTACTGATGTTAATAAATTAAATTAATTTGTTGGATAATTAAATAATGCCTCTTATATTGAAAGCAGATTCACTCGTCATTTAAAAGAAGCTCTAAATGCTGAAATCGCTTTAGGAAACATCACTACTTTAAAAGAAGCATTTGATTGGGTGAATTATACTTTTTATGCGATTAGATTAAGAAGAAATCCAACTGGTTACGGGTGCAAAATAAGTGGTAATTATAATAAAGAATTAGCTATTGAAATGCATATTACAGAAACCATAGAAAATGCTCTTTAGGATTTGGATAAATTAAGACTTATAAGGTTAGATAGGAAAAACAATTATCTATCTTCAACAGAACTGGGAAGAATTACTTCACATTATTATATTAATTCGGAAACTATGAATACTTTTTGTAAATGCTTTGGTATTAATATGGACGTTGTCGATGATTACGATGAAGTTGTGAAGAAAAAAACTGAGTATAAAAATGATTTAGATATTCTGAAAATTATAGCTTAAGCAAAAGAGTTCGAGAATATAAAAATGAGACCTGAAGAGGCCTAAGAATTATCAAAAGTAGTCAATATTTGTTGGATTTTTGATGAAAAGTTAGAACTTTCTAACAAAAGAATAGCTTCTACAGATAATAATGTAGATAATTAAACCCCTTTATTAATTGATACACCTGAAAAAATCCTGATTTTAATTTCAGGATATTTATGTAAATATCCATATGAAAACTTTTCTCTAATTTCAGACTCATAGTTCATTATTTAGAACTCTATAAGACTTTTAAGATGCATGCTAGATATCGTAATTAAAAAATCTATGGCTTAAAATGCTTAATTAGTCCAAAAATGGTGCCGATATATAGAACAGAGAATAGTTCCAGATGATACGCCTTTGCGTTAGTTCACAAAGGCTTCTTGGTAAGGGTATAATACGTTTAAATAAAGAAAAGAAAATCGAGAAGGGTTTCTTAGTGAAGATGTAGTAACTAGAATAGAAGACAAGGGTTTTACATTAGATTAATTAAGAGATATTAATGTAAATGAACTTTCTTATGCAATAAATTGGAATTCTAAGGTGGCTTCTATAATAAAAAAATTTGTTTCTTATATTCCTAGAGTTTAAGTTAATTATAATGTAAGACCAATTGCTTAGACTGTTTTAAAAGTCGACGTTTAGGTTATGCCAGATTGGACTTTTACACCAAGATGGCATAATAAAACAGAGCTTTTTAATTTAATAGTGGATGATGAAAATGAGATTTTGCATAATGAAACTTTAACTATTAGCTAGTAGTAAGTGTTTTCGAAAACTGCAACTGAACTTAGCTTTTTTGTGCCTTTTAGGGACTCTAATGCTAGACATTATAGACTTTCTATTGTACATGACACTTGGATTGCTGATCCGGAGACGGAAATTTAAATTAATTTAGATAATATTTATTTCTAAGGAGAAAAAATGGAGTATACAGAACTTTTAGATATTCATCCTTTACCAACTTCGGCTCTTAATAATCCGGAATTTGAGAACATTTATAAATTTAAGTATTTTAATCCAAATTAAACTTAAGTATTTCATGCAGTTTATAATACTGATAATAATGTACTTATTGGTTCACCTACTGGTTCTGGTAAAACTATTATGGCTGAATTTTCTATTTTGAGAGTTTTTAATAAATACCCAGGAAAGTTAGTTGTTTATATTGCTCCTTTGAAAGCCATAGCAAAAGAAAGACTAAATGACTGGGAAGTTAGATTTGGGTAAAAATTAGGAAAGAAAGTCCATGAATTAACTGGGGATTTTACTCCAGATTTAGAATCTTTATTGAAAGCAGATGTTGTTGTTACTACTCCTGAAAAATGGGATGGTATTTCTAGAAGTTGGAGCAACCGTGAATATGTAAAAAATACTGCTTTAGTAATTTTTGATGAAATTCATTTATTAGGACAAGATAGAGGTCCTGTTTTGGAAGTTATTGTTTCCAGAATGAACTTAGTTTCGAGTAGAACTTAGCATAAAATTAGAATGGTCGGTCTTTCTACAGCTATGGCTAATGGCACTGATGTTGCTGATTGGTTTGGAGTTCCAAGATTTTATTTCTTTAATTTTAGACCTCATGTAAGGCCTGTTCCTTTAAAAATTTATTTTGATGGATTTAGGTATATTTTTTTTATATTTTATGATTCTAAACATTATTATTTTTTTAATAGTGCAAAAGCATATTGCCCAAGAATGGCAGAAATGAATAAACCAGCATTTTAATCAATAAGAAAATACGGAGAAAAGAAACCTGTATTAGTATTTGTATCATCACGTCGTCAAACACGTTTGACTGCATTAGATTTGATAGCTCACGCTATGCATGAATAATGTGGTTAATGTCCATTTGTAATGTGTAGTGAAGATGAACTTTCTGCATATTTAGAATTAATAAAAGATGAGTTTTTAAAATAAACTCTTGCTTTTGGTGTAGGTATGCATCATGCAGGTTTGTAATAGGAAGACAAGAAAATTGTAGAAGAACTTTTTTTAAATTAAAAAATATAAGTTTTGATTGCTACAGCTACTTTAGCTTGGGGAGTAAATCTTCCAGCAAGACTTGTGATAATAAAAGGAACGGAATATTTCGATTCTAAAAGTAAGAAATATGTAGACATGCCTGTAACTGATATCTTATAAATGATTGGAAGAGCAGGAAGACCTTAATTTGATGATTAGGGCATTGCTTGCGTTTTTGTGGAATAAAGTAAAAAGAATTTCTATAGAAAATATTTAAATGACCCTTTTCCAATTGAATCGTCTTTAATAAGTCAAATTCATGATCATTTTAATGCCGAAATATCAAGCGGAACAATTGAAACGAAACAATAGTGTATGGATTGGATCACTTGGACTTATTTTTTCAGAAGAATGTTAAAAAATCCTACTTATTATAATTTAGAAAATTAAGAAACTTCTTAAGTTAAGAAATTCTTAATTCAATTAGTTGACGATTGTATGAATAGATTATAAGAATATAATTGTATTACTATTGATGAAGAATAAAAATATTACGTATAGCCTACCTTTTTGGGGTAACTAGCAGCATTTTATTACATTAAACATGAATCCATTTTTCATTTTGATTAAAAAATCACAAAAGAAAGTACAATTCCTTAACTTCTACGAATAATAGCCTATTGTAAAGAATTCGAGGAAATTCCTTTAAGACATAATGAAGAAAACATGAATGAGGCTTTAGCAAAATTAGCTCCATTAGCCTGTGATAAAAACAATTTTACATCTTCAAATGAAAAAACTTTCCTTCTTTATCAAATGCATATGTTTAGACTTCCACCGCCAATTCGAGATTATATAACAGATACAAAAATAGTGGTCGATAGTTCGATTAGAATTATTCATGCGTGTATAGATCTTTGTGCAGAAAGAAAATAGCTAAATACATGTGTTAATTTGATGATTATTATGTAAATGTTAGTTCAAGGAGTTTGGTTTGATAGAAGTATGCTTATTAATTTCCCGTTTTTCGATGAGGTTTTGATAAAGAAATTACCATTTTATTACTTGTGTTAATTATTGGAAGAATTCCATAATGGATCTTTGTAAAATATGTTAAAGAAAATCGATAAAAAATTCAATGAGGAAAATGTTTGGAAAGAACTTGAAAAAAAAATCAATAGTATTCCTTTAGTTAATTTAAGGGTAAAAATTTACCCTTTTAATTCAGAAAAATTATAAAAAGAAGATACTTAAATATAACAAAGTGAAATATAACTGGTGCAAGGAGGAGAAGCAATTATTTAAGTGAATATGGAAAGGGTTAATTATAAGTAACCACTTTAAGTTTAGGTTTAGCATTGTTAAAAGATTAAAGACGCTTCTTGGTGGCTTGTTGTGGGTGATGAGTATTTTGGTGAACTTCTTTCAATGAAGAAAGTGTTCTTTAAATAAAATTTGTTTAAAGAGATTTAAATTATTTTGCCAAAAAACTTTGATAAAAGTAAAAAATTGAGTGTAATGTTAATTTCTGATTCATATTTGGGTATAGATTAGATTTAAAAAATTGATTTGAGGGCGAAATTGTAATAAAATGATGAAAAATATTAAATAAATAGTGATGAAGAATCATTAGAAACGGATAAACCCATTAGATAAAGACTTTCTTCAGATGAAGAATAAGAATAATAAAAAGCTAATTAAAAATATAAGAATAATAGTGCTATATTAACATAAGGAAATTAACTTAAAAAAAAAAAATTAGAGGATAATAATAATTAAGAAGATGAAGAAAAAAAAATATTATAAGATAAATGTGAACAAGAAGAAGAAGAAAAAAAAAGTTCACCTTCTAAAATGAATATTATAACTAGAAAAAAAAATGATAAAAACCAAGAAAGTAAAAATATAAATAATTAATAATAATAATAATAATAATAATAATAATAATAATAATAATAATAATAATAAAAATATTAATAATAAAAATACTAATAAGAAAAAAAGCCAGAAAAAAAAGGTTATAATAGTCATTATAATTAAAGAAATGATAATTATAGAGGAAAACATAATTATAATAAAGATAGAAATAATTATAATTCCGACGATAATTAGAATGAAGATGAATATGATGTTGGATATAAAACTAAAGAAGGTAATAAAATAGATGAATTTAAAAGAAATAAAGGGAATTTACCTATTGATCAAGAAAATAATGATGATGAAAATAGTGAAGATCTTCAAAAAAAAATTGAATTGGATAGTGATTTTAGTGATGAAGCTGAAAATAAAAGACAGAGAAGAAGATTTGATAATTAATAAAGAAACAACGAAGGAACAGTTGGAAATAAATTGATTAAGGGTAATGCTGATAAGGTAGGAGGATATAATAAAAATTATTAAAATAGAAATAAGGATGATTATAATAGAAAGAAAAATCAAGATTTTAATAAAAATAAAGAATATGACAACCGAAATTATCAAAATAAAAACTTCGAAAAAGATGATTAATAAAGAAATTAGGATAACAAGAAAAATAGCGATAACAAATAGAATTCAGATATAAAATCAGATAAAATAAATTAAGATAATATTGATATTAATTAGACTGATAATAAAAATGAAAATAATAGATAAAATAATATTAGAAATGATAATAATAGAAGTGAACATAATAGAAATTATAATAATAGTAATAGAAATTATGATTAAAACAAAAATTATGATAATAGAAATAATGATAATAATCGAAATTATAATAATAAGAATTATGACAATAATCGAAATTATAATAACAGAAATTATGATAATAATAGGAATTATGATAATAATAGGAATTATGATAATAATCGGAATTATGATAATAATAGGAATTATGATAATAATAGAAATTATGATAATAATAGGAATTACGATAATAATAGGAATTATGATAATAATAGGAATTATGATAATAGTAGGAATTATAATAGTAATAGATAATAAGACAGAAATTAAGATAGTAGAAATAAAGATAGAAACTATTACAAGAATTTTGATAATGATTACGATAGAAATTATGAAAATCAAAAAAATAATCCAAATAACACAAATTAAAAATATGATTATAATAAAAATAGAGATAATGAGTATAATAGAAATAGGTAATAAGATAATGACTAAAGGAGAGATAACTAAAAATAAGATGATATGAGTTAATAAGATAATAGAAATTAATAAAATAACAAAATAATATAAGATAACAAAAACTAAAGAAATCAATAAAATAGAAATTATAATTAAAGAGAAGAAAATAAATATGACGATAGAAGTTCTGAAGACTAAAGACAAAACTAAAGAAATTAATTAAAAAGATAATATAAATGAATAAAATTATTTAATTATTAATAAATTAAATAAAAAAATAAAACCTTTATATAATTTATTTTCATAAAAATATAATTAGGTAACAACTAATTTAATAAATATTTATTTAAATGATTAATATTAATTTTATGATGTTATTTAATAAAAAAAATTAATTCATTATAATTATAAATAAAACAGTATTATAACTATAAAAATAAATAATTAAACAAATTAAATATATAATATTATTTAAATTAAAATAAATATTATAATTATTTTATAAATTTAAATATAAAAAAATATACAAATGATTATATTTATATAAATATTTAATAAATTGTTTAATTTGTTAAATATATATATATAAATAATAAAATATTAATTTTAAAAATACAGATGTCTTTAACTTTAAAAACGAAATGCATATTTATTTAATAAATAAAAAAATCCAAGTATTAAAAAAATAAGAACAAAAAATAAAAAAAGAAAATCATTATTATTTAGAAGAAATAATTTATTCAAACTTTTCTTATGCTTCTTTTTAAATAGCTTAATCTCCTAATTTAATTTTGATATCTTTGTAAACCTTTTCTAATCTTTAGATATGTTTTTCATTTGGATTTTCCTTAAGTTAATTTTCTAAAACATTCAAAAATTCTTCCATAATATTATCATATTAAATAATATTAATAGCATTAGTATTTTAAATTAAATTATAATTAGCCAATTCTATAAAACATTCATCGATTTCTTTTTTTGCTAAATGTAAATAAGCTTTTCCATTTATACAATTATGACCAACATAACATTTTTTAATAAAACCTAAGAATTTGTTAATATTTTTTTCGATTTTCTAATCTTCTGAAGGTTCTTGTAGACTTCTTGCGAATCCAACAAGTATATTATTTATTGTATTTTCATTAATGCTGACAAGATCTCTAATTAAAGCAGCTCTTGCAACATAGAAAATGACTTAATTAAGCTTTTGTTAAACAGCATAAGAAGATAAAGTATCCAAAATCTAAGAATCTATTTTCAAGAAATAGGTACAGGAGAAAATTTTAGCTAAATCAGTGATTGCGTCATTGTTTTGGGTAGATTAATAATGCTATGTAAGTTCATATAATAGAGATGTTGTAGGATAATACATAAGGAAATTATGATTGTATAATATTTCATGCAATAATTCAGATTTATTAACTTGCATGGCTTTTCGAATGAATTAGTCTATTTATTTGTTGATGATTTTTTCTTTGTTTCCTACAAAATTATAATAGGCTTATTTTACTTCTTATACGTCTTCGGGAGTTTTTATTAAATTTAATAATTATGCGAATTAATTTTGGTTAAATTACTAATAGCCATTCTTATTTATTTATGTAAATCTTAATAAATAATCATAGTATTCTTTTGCAGATGCATATTCGGCGATAGATACTTCTTCAACTTTTGTAGATTTTGCTAATTTTGCAAATGCGCAAGTTGGGTAAAGTTTTTTATTTTAAAATGCTTTTAATAATTGTTTTTGTATTTTAACTATCATTTTATTTATTTTTTTGGTTTTATTTCTTTTTTTTTATTTTTTTATTTTTTGTTCTTTTGAATTTTTTAGCCTTCTCTTTTATTTTTTTATTAAAATATAAATATATTATAAAAGATATTTTTTTTATTTATAAAGCAAAAAGAATTTTTTATTTTGAATACCTTTTGTTTTCTTTCTTTTTAGTATTTTACTAAAGTCTTTTTATTTTAATTTTTAAATAAAATATTTATTTATTTTAAAAAAAAAAATATTATACATCTTAAATAAATCAAAAAAAAAAAAAAAACAACTAAAAAATAAAATATAAAAAAAAATAAAAAAAAAAAAAACATAATGGAGATAGAAGAAGAAACAAAAATTTAAATTAAGCTAAATACCTAATTTACCCCAAACCAAACATCCATATAAAAAAAGTTAATTAAAATAAAAGAAAATGATAATTAAATATTAGCTTCAATATTTACTAACAATTAAATAGAATTTCAAGCACAAGCCCTAAACGAAACATTTGTTTAAGATGATCCTTATCAATATTTAACAGATATAGAATGGCTAAATGAAACTTAATTATTATTTTCAACATAAAAATCAATTCAATTATATGATTTGCAAAAAAAAAAGTGCTTCGTAACTTATAAGGACATAGTTAGGAAATATTTACAATATGTAAAAATACATATAATAATGTAATAGCATCAGGAGGTTAAGATAATACGATTATATTATGGGATTTAAGAGAATAAAAGCCTTTTAATGTAATACTAGCCCATGCTAGATCAATTACAAATATTTAATTTTCAAAAGATAGTATGAATTTAGCAAGTTGTGCAGCTGATGGCTTTACTCGGGTTTTCAACGTTTTTAATGGATTTTGCAAATGTACTTTAAATGCAAATACTACTACTATTCCTTCTTTTGTAAAGTTTTGTGAAAATAATTAATTTTTACTTGTGGACACTTTAGATGATAGTATTTAATTATGGGATTGGAAAAAATAGGAACTTAGATAATCTTTTTAAGGAAGTGTAAATTCTTAAAGTTATTTAGAATCTTTTATTATTAAGGATCCTTTAATTTAAAAATAAAGATATGTTATAGGATATTCATAAAAAAAAAAAATTTTGATTTGGAATATTATTAGCGGGAATATTATTAATAGATTTAATGTTGATTATGGAAATAATCTAAAACTTTATATTAAAAATGACAACCCATTTAATGAATTTTATTTATATGATAATGACAGTTTAAATATTTATAAATATAATTTTCAATTTTTATGAAGTTTAATATATTTATTTTTTATCAGTATTTATTAAGTGTTTATGAGTTTTATAATTATTATTTTTTTTAATAATACAAATAATAAAATTTAAATTTTATTTTAAATATCAATAATTTCAAGTATTTATTTATATTTTAAAATTAAAATAAATAAAATGGGTTTTTTATTAGAAATTATTTAAATGTTTTAATTACAATTCTAAAATATTATCATTATATAAAAAATAATTTTTCACTAGATTTAAATAAAATTGTACTTTGATTAAAAGTAACAATTTAAAAACATATAAATATATTCATATATTAAATTATTTTCTATCATTAATTTTAAATTAAAACTATGCATAAATAGTTTTAAACATGAATATCTTTAAAAAAGATAATTTAATATATAATTATTCAAATATAAAATAGAATTTTTATATATTTAAAAACATAATAATAATTAAAATACATTATAATTTTTCTATTTAAATTGATTTTTTACATTTTGTTTTTATAAAACTTTATTTTATTTATATTTTTTATCTATATTTTTATTTATTTTTTTAAAAAAAATATTTTTAAATATCTTGTTTTTAATCTATAAATTTCAATAATTTTTTTTTATTATATTAGGCATAAAAAGAATAAATAAAAATTTAATATAAAATATAAATCAACAAAAATATTTAATTCAAATATCAATAATATATTAATAAATACTAATAGTTATTTAAAAAATAAATTAAATCAATATTATTCAAGGAAAAATAATTTAAAAAATATATTTCACATTGCAAAATAATAAATTTAAATTTATATAAAATAAATAAATAAAAAAAAATTATAAATCAATCTATAAAATAAAAATGCGCTATTTTTAAAGTAAAGAGTTTTCTGAATAATATATATAATTTATAAGAGAAAAATCTATATATTATATGTTAAAGAATATGTAAAACTTAAATTATCCCTTAAGAATTTAAGAATAAATGCTTTTTGTTTTTGACGAATTGTTAGTTTGTCTTTTTTCGTTAAAAAAAAGGTTTTCATCTAAAGATTTACTTTGTTTTTATTAGACTTTATTGATACCCTAGTAAAATAAATAAAGTATTCAAAGAAAAAAATATCTATAAGGTGTTAAGAAATATTTAAAAATGATAAATCTTAGTTAATAGTAATAATCTAAAACATATGAAAATCTTAAAGCTAAACTTATTGAATTTAAAACTATTTCTAGTATTTTTTAAAATTTAGAGTTGTTCGATATTTTGAATGAAAACGATTTAGAATTGTTATAAGAAATAGTATAAATCTATTTGTTAAGTTTCAAAGATTATAAAGAAAATAAAATTAGGGCTTTAGCAATTTTAAAATATGCTTATAATGAAAAAGTTTTAACATTTTCACTAGATAGTAGCATTAAGAAAATTGGAGAATAACTTGATGATTTTGAATTATAAAAAGCTCAATAATATTTATAAAGTATTTCTAAATTATTTTAATAAGATTAATGTTGATAAGAGCTTATATATTTGAATTTATATTATAAATTTATTTTTAATATTTTAAAAAATTATAATATATAAAATAATTATAATTTTTAAAAATTTCTAATAAATGGCCTTTTTTTTAATTAATTATAATAAAATTTTAAATTTTTTAAAAATGTATTATATGTATAGTTCCTAAATAAATTACTCTATATATTTATACTTTATAATTTATTTTTTATATGTATTTAATTTTTTATAAATATATACTAAAGATATTTTCATTAAATATATTTATATTAATTTACTTAATTATATATTATTTTACCTTTTAAATATATAATCATATATTATATTAATATTTTTTTTTAAATATATTTAAAATAATATTAAAGTATAAAATTAGATAAAAAAAAAAAATGTATAATCACAATTTTAACATAAAAAATTAAAAAAACTTATTAATTCCAAACTATCAATAAAATGCTTAACCTAATTAATATTCATATATACCTTAATAGCCTATAAATTAGCCCTATATATAAGCGCAGCCTTAATCTTTAAATAATATGTATTTAAATATGAATATAAATAATTAGCAATAATAATTAATTTAATAATAATAAAAATATTTGCCCAATTAATTTCAAATACCAGATTTGCTTAATTTTAAACCTTAAAACCCTGTTCCACCTTTATATGCATAAAATTAACCATAACACAAAACAAATTTTAATTTTAACTTTTTCGCATTTAATCCAGTTCCACCATAACCACCAATGAATAATATGGTATAAAATAATTAAAAAAATATGCAATATATTAAAAATTAGTATTAAAATATTAATCTCTAGAATACGATAAATTAAAAAAATATGAATAAATATAATAATAATTTTAAAAATATAAATAATTTTAAGAAAAACAATAATTTTAATAAAAATTTTAACAATAATAATAATATTAATTACAATGCAAATATTAATAATCAAAGTAATAATAATTTAAACAGTATTACTAAAAGTATAGAATAAATAGAATAAACAAAGGTACATACAGAAACAGAATTAGAAGAGATATAAAAATGGATTTAATCAAGAAAGTTAAATTATCCCACAAAAGAAAATACAGAAAGAAAAAAAAAAGAATTGGAATAAAGAGCAACTTTAGGTTTTATTGAAAAGCCAGAATTATCCTAATTGGAAATAAAAATAAGAAAAAAAATTATGTTATCAAATACCAGCTTAAGAAAATTAGAAACTCATTAAAAGCATTTAGAAATGTTGAAAAAGCATTATTCAGAAGGATAAAAATCCCACAAAATTCAAAAGAAAAAATAATAACCATAATATTTATAATAAAATAATATGCAAAATAATAAGGAACAATATAATGAGCTTGATAAACCTTAATTAATTAAAAAAATAAAAAAATAAAATAACATTTTAAAAAAAAATCTTGATGAAAAAAGAGAAATATATTCAAAAATTAAAATCGATGAAAATTAAATTCGATAATAAAATTTATAATAAGAATAATTATAAGACAATAATTTATAAGAAGAATAAGATGATTTACCTTAAGAAATAAGAATGTGCGGAGAAAAAGAATAAGATAATGAAAAAGTTGAAGAAATGATTAAGGATTTGAAAAGCAAAAAAGAAAAATAAAAGGATGAAATAGATTATGCAATAAATTTTAAAGGAAGCACTAGTAGTTATCACTATAGATAAAATAATTTGCTTACAAATTTAGTTTTGGATGAAATATATAGAGAAAGAAATATTATATTATAATCAATTAGGTATATTATTAACAATAACTTTTTTGATTAAGAAACGGAAAATAATTAATGAATTATAATTTATATATTTTTATTGTTTAATTGAGTAAAAATATTTAAATAAAACAATATAAAAAAATGTTAAATAAATATACATAAATTATATTATTATATCATAGAAAAATAAATAATTTCATATAGAAAAAAATATATATATATATTTTTCAATAAAAAAATTTCATTTATAAGTATTAATCATCCATTAAGACCATTCTTAAAATCTTCTTTCTAAGTCTGACCATAAATTTTTTTTTTCTTTTTTATTTAATAAGGAATATTCAACCGAATTAAATGCACAAAGCTTAAGATCTTTATAGTCTAAAAAAAAAATGTATAAAAAAATATAAATTTTTTTTAAAAATACCTAATACAGGTCCAACAGCACAAAAATAAAAATCCATGGCAACTCCATTATAACCAAAAAATCCAGGATCATCAGGATTAATACAAACTTTAATGCCATAATTAATGAAAGATTTTATAGGATGACATCTGATGTCATCAATGTATTTAAGAATTTAATTAGAAACAGGACAAATTTCAATACATATTTTTTTATCTTTAATCTTATTATATAGATAAGAATGTTAAGATAAGTTCAAGCCATGTCCTATTCTTTTAGATCCCATCATAACTGCATCAAGAATATTACTATTTTTGTGATGTTCAAGTGACTCTCCTCCATGAAATACAAAAGGTAATTGAACTTTTGCTTTCTTACACATTTAGGGAAATTTTAATAAGGCTGGTGCCATTTCAACCATATTTTTATAAGCATCTTCTTCTTATACCATATCAAATCCACAAAAAAGATCAGGGTATTATTTTTTTGCATTAATAGCAGATTCCATATATTTTTCTATTTAAGAAGTATCCCACATTTTAAGTCCTTAGATTATAATTTTGAAAGTAAATAAAGGAAACTCTTTTTAAACTTAAGTGATTACATCTTAGATAAGTTTCACTTCTTAATCAATGTTTAATGGTTAGTGGTTTTCATTAAAAATAGAGCCTAAAAGAGATCTTGCTTCAATATGAAAAACACCTTATTAAGCAAAGTTGGTCAAATATTATTTTAAGTATCTTTTGAAATTTTCTTCATAATAAATTATTTAGTTAATACCTATAATTTTCCCTTCGAATAGTTTCCAAATGTTATGTTTAGAAATTCTATCAGCTTCTTATACGATTAGTATGCTCTTTATTTTTTCTTCATATTCTTACTTATTTTGACTTTTGTCTCTTTCTTATTTTAAGCTTTTATATCCTTTTTCAATTTCTTCTCCAACTTTTATATATTTAAAGCATTGGGTTTCTTCATTGTAATAGGAAGTATCTAAGAATGCTATTTCTTTCATAAACCATTCTATGTCGTTACAGCAATCTATGTGAATGTGCAAAACAGCTCCTTTTGGTAATTTTAAGATTGCTTAATATAACTCAGATTTTTAAGTTATATATTCAATGTGTTTCAAAGTGTGAACTTTGTAAAATAGATCATCATGCAGATCACGTTCTTTAAAAATCAATTTCTTAAATAATTCATTTGCTTATAATTCGAGCTCTGTAAATTTAAGACCTTTGTATTTATTAGATTATAGTTATTAGAGGCATTTTGAACGTTATTTAAGATATTTTTCCATTTTTATTAATTTTTATTTATTTATTTATTTATTTATTTATTTATTTATTTATTTTTTATAAATAGTTATAATAAAAATTATTTATTGATTTTTATTCAATATATATTGTATTTTAAAATTTATTATTATTTATATTTAAATTGTATTTTTTCCCCTAATAATTAATATTTAATTTTAAAAATTCCATAATTTCTATAATTTCTTATATTTATATTAACATATATATATATGGTTTATTTTTGATAATTTTAATAAAATATTAAAATAATAATTATCTAAAATTAACTTTAATATTTTTCCTGATACAACTTATAAAAAAATCTCTTAAAATATTTTTTTTATTAGTAACCTATATATTAATATTGTTAAAAATGGTATCTCTATTTAAAAATTAAAAATTTTATGTTTATTTTTTACTAAAACGATGAATAAAATAAACTATAAATCAATTCGTTTTGTCTTAAAAATATTAAAATTTAAATAATCAATTTATAAAGTAAATTTTTCTTTATTTTTACAAATAAAATCTAAGTTTGCCTAAAAATTGTTATAAAATATATTCTAAAAATAAAATAAATATAAGTTTTAATATTCTCATGCAATATTTAAATTCCAAAATGAATTTAAACAATAAATTTAAAAACATAAAAAAAAAAAAAATATTGAATATATTTATTAATATTATATGATATTAAAAAATAGGTATTTCTTTATAATTTATACATTAAAATAAATATATCTAAAAAAATGGCTTTATTTAAATTTATTTTAAGAATTTATATTTTTTTTTTGACAATAATTAAGCAAAAAAATAGGATATTTAATTTTTATATGTTTAAATTAAGAATATTTACATTCCAAAATATCATATACTTTTTTCGTATAAAAAATAAAAATATAAAGACTAAAGTTATATTTCCTATTAATGAATAACTAAATAATATTTATAATAATAAATTTATTTTTATCAAATTTAATACTTGTATAAATATTTTAAAGAAATTTACATTATCATATGCTTTAAATTTCTAAAAAATTATTTAGAAATATGTTTCCTTATAAATAAAATTAATATTAGAATACGACTATATAAAACATGATATTTATTTGAAATTTATATGTAAAATAATATTATAAATATATTAATCCAAATAAATTTTAGAGCATGATTCTTTATTTACTGATAATTTATATATATAAAAGTAATATGCAATTGAATAAGTATGTATAAAAATTTTGAGGATTTAAATTTATAAGTTATGTATAATTTTATCAAGATTATTGACATTTAATAAAAATATCTAATAAATTGTCTTAAATTAAAAAAGCAAACTTTATTTATTAAATAATAAAAAATAATCAGTATAAATATATATAAAAAAAAGGTAAAGATGCTTTAGATAAATTAATTGCTAATTAAAAATATACTAAACAATAATAATAAGCAAATTATTTTAAAAAATATTAACTTTATGTGAGACAATTTAGAAAAACTTGTATAAAATAATAATGATATTAAAAAGAAGATTATGAGAATGATAGTATGAATAACATAAAGATGGTAATTAAAAGCATGATGATATAATTAACTTTTTGAGATAAAAAAGTAATTTTTAATGTTATGTTAACATTCATACTCCTAATATTTAAAAGAATAAATTAGATAGCTATACTCAAAAATGCATTAAAATAAAGACTAATTTCCTATATAGCTAGAAAGCTATTTGAATTGCATTATATAACTAATATTTATATATATGTTATAGAAGACTTTAAATATAATATTTATTTATTCATATTATATTATTTATAAAAGAAATTTTAATATATTAATGTTATAATTATTTAGTTTTAAGTATTAACAAAATTATTAATAATACTTTTTTGATAGTATTTTATGATATAATACTTAAAATAATAAATAAATATTTATTAAATATTATATATTTTAAATATATTAACTTCTTTATATTTATTTTTATATTATTCAATATTATTTAATTTTATTATATTTAATAATTTTTATTTTTTTTAATAATTTTTTTATTCATTATATTTTTAATTTTAATTTTTTTTTTTAAAAAAAAAATAATATTTATTAACTAATTAAAAAATAATATTCATTTATCCTTTTTATCCAAGTCCTTAATATCAGTATATTTTCCTTTTCATAATATAAATTTTTTTTTTTTAAAAAAATACCTAATAATTCATGTATTCCAATATCATTCCATTCTTTGGATTTCTCAATAGGAAACTTTAAAGATGGTTCATGATTTTCATTATTTTCGTTATTTATTGTAAGTTTTGCACATTCAGGAATAAAAATATTAACATCTTAATTATTTATTAAATTAATATAAATTAAAAATAATGTTTTACTTTTAAATGATTCCTTTCTCCATTCGTTATCAACAATAACACTAAGTAATGGATTTGCACTTTTTATTATTTTTTTGTAAAAAATATTTATTATATTTTTTATTACTGCATATTAAAATTAAATACACCATCTTTTTTTTAAGAAGAAATCATTTTAATTTTTTTTAAAAAAAAAAAAAAAAACCTATAAAAAAACAATTTATATATATATACGTGTATATGAAAAAAAAAAAAAACTAATAATGATTGTATTAATGTATTACATTAAAACAATTATTTTAAATATATTAAAAAAATAAAAATTAAAGTTTATTAATTATTTTAAATTTTATATTTAAATGAAATAAAATAATTGTATTTTTTTTATTTATTAAAATATCAAATATCTAAATCAAAACTTCTATCATTATATTAATCTTCTTCATTAATTTCATAATCTTATTATTGAAAATATTCACTGGATTTATTTTCTTTTAGCATTTCTTCTTTTATTTCTTCTTCTAATTCATATTCTTTTTTATTATTTACTGATTTCTCATTCATATTCTAATTTTAAGAATTTTATTTGAAATATAATTGTTTTGATAAATAATCACTAATTAAAAAAATAAATAAAAATTGTTTGTAATTATAGTTATACCTATATTTTTTTTATTTTATTTATATTTCTTATTATTATTCATTAATTTATTAAATAGATTTTTATTAATTAGATTCATCTGAATCTAATTTGTTACTATAATTTAAACTATTTTCTAATTATTCTTAATTTTTATCAAATTCACTTACTTCAAAATTTATTTGTTTTTACAAGTAATAATCATTCATATAATTATTATGGCATTATAGTTATTATTAATATTCCTCTTAATATTCTTCTTTTTTATCTTCTTATACACTATTTTTCTTAAAACTATTATCTTTTAATGATCTTTAGCTTTTTGAATGTTTAAAATGTCTATTTCGTTATTTTTATTGTTGTTTATTTAATTTAGTAGGTTTCTCTTATGTTTAGTCATATTAATAATTACTTATATTTTATTCAATATTAGTCTCTATATTATTTTCTACTTAATTTTATATATTGGTAACTGTAATTATACTTTCTTTTTTTTTAATTTATTTAATTTATGATTAATTTTATTATTTATTTCCATTTTCAGTATAATTATTATTTTAAATATTTTCTTTTTATAATTATATACTAAGTTTTTATTTTTCTAATTCATATTTAAATAAGCATTTTTTATTTTCTTTCGATTTTTTTGGAATAAATTATATTATTTTGACTTTTTTATATTGTTCTTAATTTATATAGTTATTATCTTTTAATGGCTTTATAAAATTTAATATATATATATATATATATATATATATATATATATATATATATATATGTATATATAATATATTTATATATATTTTTTTTATAATATTTTTTTTTATTAACAGAAAAACTTCTAATTTTAAATTGTTATTTATTTTTGCTCGTTTTACTATTTAAATATTTAGAAGAGTTTTTTTAAGCATTTTTATGATATTGTATTCCTCTTTTTATAAAAAATTATAAAATTTATAGAAATATTACAAAAATAAGCAACTTTAAATTATCAATAAGTTCATTTTATTAAAGATCTAAATTATAGCGGATAATCCTGTTTTTGTATTATTAATTTATCAAATATTATTTTTCCAAATCAACTTTTTTAATCGATGACTCTCTTATTTTAAAAATAAATAATTTATTTATCTTTAATAGTTTATATTTTACTTTGCAATAATTCTACTTGCTATTTTTTCATTTTCTTAACCAATCATAAAAGCTTTGTTTTTCAATTAAATAACATTTCTATGATTTTTTAATGCTGTCATATTATATGATTCACCTGGTGATTTCTAATATTTAATTAATATAAGGAAATCATTTATTATTAAAATTTAAATTACATATTTTATATTAGTTATATTTTTTGAAACAGGAGGAGATATATAAGGTTTTGATGTTATATTTAATAATTTATTTAATAAACTATTATTATTTTTTTGAATTTTTAATTATTTTTCTTTTTCTAGAAAATGATATGTTCTTGTTTTAGATAATTGATAATTTGTTAAAAAACTTTCATGTTTTTAATCTAAATAATTATTTTTATGATCTTTTTATATTTATTAAAGTTTTTATTTATGTATCTTTTTGTTTCTTTTTTGTTTGGTTTTTAGTATATTTTTTTAATTAAAATAAATAATAAAAGTGTAAAAGGAACAATTTCATAAAATAAATTTTTTAAATATTTTTATATTTTTTTTTATTCTAAAAGTTAAATTTTATTTTATTGTACTTTTCACGAATTATTACTTCATTTAAATTATAGTTTGAATATAAATAATTATACATTTTTAATTTTTTTTTTTTTTTCGTTATTTTATTTTGAAATTATCAAAAAATTATTTGAAAATATTAATTAACAAATAAAAAAAAATATTAAAAAAATATTTAAATAATTGAAGAAATAAAAATAATATTTTATTTATATAAAAATAATTGTATATTTATAATCCAAATAATATTTTATATAAATATATTACATAAAAAAAATTCAATATATAAAAATAATCAATATTATATTTACATATTACAAAAAAAAAAAAATGAAATAAATAAAAATATAATAAAAAAAAAAATTAATAAAAAATTCCTTATTTCATAACAATTAAAAATCTATTTAAAAAATCATTAATTATAGATGATTAATGTAATTATTTAATGATTTGTTTATATCAATATTAAAAAAAATTTATTTGAATTATATTTATTATATTCAGAATTTAAAAAAAGATATTTTATAATTAGATAAACAAAAAAAATAAATTAGATAAAAAAGCTATAATGATTAATAATAAAAATAAAAATAGTAATATTAATAATAATAATAATAATAATAATAATAATAATAATAATTTTAATAATAATTATAATAATAAATATTCTTACATATATCTTATAATTTATTTTAAAATTATTTTATAATAATATCGCATATAATATATATTTTTTATTTTTAATTTGTTATTTTATGGAAATAATTTTCCTCATATACATATATTATTTAAAAATTTTAATTTTATTAAAATTAATATTCCGATATCTAAATAAAATTAATATATTGATACTATTACTATCTTATAAATATTATATATATATATAAATAATAGATTAATAATAAATATTAGTATATAATAAATATATATTAATTATTTTTTTTAATTTTTATCTTTTTTTTTTTTTTTATTTAATAATTTATTATTTTTTTTTTATAAGAAATAAAATATTAATTTTTTAAAAAAATATATAAATTGAAAATAAAAAAATCTTAATTTTTTTTTTTATTCTTATTAATCTTTTATAAAATAAGTTTATATTATTTCCCTACTTCAAACAATATCCCAATGAGTTTCAATATTAATTTTATCTTTATTATAATCTGAATCATCAACCACATCCTCTAAAACTTCGAAATCTTTTTAATCAAAAGTTGCCGAGAACAGTAAAACTTGGGTATTTTTCAAATTATTATCAACTATAGCTTTAAAAGTTTTATCCACAATATCTTTTACGTTTTTAGTTTGAGAATGAATTACTTCATCTGCCTCATCTAAAATTAGGAACTTAAGGTTTTTAAAATCTAGACTTTTCATGATTTTTTCCACATATCCAGGCGTACCAATACATACAGATCCTTTAATATCTTTAGTATCTGTATCAGCAAATAGGTAAGAAATTTCATATTTTTTTTCGTCAGGCATACACAAACTCAATTATTTTCCAATTTAAAGACATAATTCTTTCGAATGAGCCAAAATAACAACTTAAGGCATCCATTTATAACCATCTTATCCTTTTTTGGGTCCAGAATTAATTTTGAAAGTGACATGAGATTATAAATTAGAATCATATTTTTCTGCTACAGGTAATAAAAAGCAGAAGGTTTTCCCTCTTCCATTTGGGAAGCCATAAATAGACATTAATGAATAAACATTTTTATTATCAGCCTAATAATTAATAATTTTCGGTACTGCAATTGCTTAAGCAGCCCGAGGTTTAGCAAATCCACTTTTTTGCATTTTTTCTATCACAGGTTAAGAAAGGAGTAAATCAGACCATTTTTTGGAAGAATATTCTCCTTTTTTTTAATTTATGACTTCCTAATTATGAGAAATGCAGTTTTTTAAATGATCAAAAATTTCCTATTTTTCATATTTACTTATTATTGTAATATCAAATTTAGCCCCCTCAGTTATTATAGACTCTTCTCCAGGCTAATTAGATAATGTTAATGCTACTCCTTTTTTATCAGCTCTTCCCGCTCTTCCGACTCTATGAATGTAAGTTTCAGTATCTATTTATTCAGGTTTTATTGGACCGGAGTCATTTTGACCTCTTTTTTTGATATGGATTGGTACATCACAATTTATTACGACACTTACGTTATTAAAGTCTATACCTCTTGCCACTAGGTTTGTTGTGAGTAAAAATTGGGTCTTTCCTTCATCGAAATCAATTCTTTTTCTTTTCCTTATCGCCATTTCTAAATCAGCGTGAAGTACATCTATTTTTCTTTTAAATTTTGTAAACTCTCATCTGATTAAAGTTTTTGATAGAATGATTCTAAGTCAACTTTACTGTTAAAAAAAAATACTATTCTGGCTTTCCCGATCTCACTTTGGGCCATGTCGAATATAAATTTTGAAACGAAGTCTTTTTTTCGTTCTCATCTTTTACTTTGTGGAACCATTAACGTACATTTTTCATACGGTTCTTTAAATCTATTTCTAAAGCAGGAGCTTGTTGCTTTTATTCTTCTTGTTATTCAGACATTTTTTTATATTTATATTTATTATATATATCTTTTTTATTTTATTTTATTTTTTGGATAAGATTTTTATTTATTTTTTTAGTGTGTTGGCAAGTAAAAGATATATATATTATTTTTATTTTATAATATTTATTTATATATGATTCTATATAAGAAATTATCTGAAAATAATAATAAATTTTTATAATTATTTTAATTTGTTATTAAATTAATTCATATCATATATTTTATAAAGAAGTTTTTTATTTACAAAAACAATATTATGATTTTTCATCGCCAACATTTAGCATATTAATCAATATCATATTAAAAATAATCTTCTTAAGGATTAATATTTTAATTCCAAGGACAACACTATTAATAGAAGGAACTGTTGTTTTCTATCTATTTAGTGATATTTTTATTAATTTTTATATCTTGTTAAAAACTAAACTATTTTTTTTGTATGCTTTATTAAGAAATATATTATTATTATTTTATTTTTTATCTTTCATCTAACTTTTAGTATAAATAAAAATCAACATTATTTTTATTGATTTTAGGTTAAATAGCTGATAAACATCTTTTTTACAAATTATATATTATTTAAGGCTATTTATATTTTGCTTATTAATTTTTTTATATTTAAAGTTATTAATTTTAAATTTAAACTTTAAATTTTTAACTTATTTAATCATTTTTTAAAAACAAGTTTGGCCTTTTAGAACTTTTAAATACTTTTTTTTTATTTGATATGACTAATAAGTTCTATTAAAGGAAATTATTTAATTTAGATTTCTAGTCAAATTCATTATTATATCTAATTATTTTATTAGAAGCCTATTATTTGATTTCTTTTACTGAATTATATATATTTTTATCACATAAACTTTTTTATTTATTGTCAATAGATTTTTATTACTTTTTTAGTTATATTGCATTTAATGATTATTACTTTTTTAATTTTACTACATTTTCACTTTTATCAAAATATTAAATAGGTTTTTTAGGAGTTTTAGACAAATGGCATATTATATTTTAATCCATTTATATTTACTTTAATTAGATTTGTTTAATGTCTTTATATTCTATTAATTATATTTAGGGTTTTTGTTTAAATTCGTTATTATTGTATTTCTAAAATTATTAGTTATAAAAATTATTTTTGCAAATAGAATTAATAGAATTGAATTAGACCATTTTATAAAAAATATACTTAAATATAAACTATGTAATAAATAAAAAATATATTTAAAAAGTTAGATAATAATAAAATTAAAAATATATAAAAAAAATATATATGAGATTTTAAAAAGTAAGTATTAAAATTATTATAAAATTTTTAATATTTTATATAAATAAAAATAAAATATTTAAAAAATTAATGTATTAAAATAATATAAATTAAATAATAGATATTGATAATTAAAAAAATTTTAAATTTATTTAATTTCTTTGATTTAAACTTAGATTATATTAACCAATAATTATTATTTAATATATAATAATAAAAAAATCAATATATCTAATAATTTATTTTTATATTTATCTAAATAATAAAAATTTATAATGTTTTTTTTTGTTAAACTATTAAAAATTTTAAAAACTCAAAAAAAAAAATTATAGAAAATAAGTTTATTAAAATAATATATAAAGTATATTTATTAATTTTAAAATTAGTGAAAAAATATTAAAATAAAATAATAAATTTAAATAATGTATTCAAAAATTGATATATATATATGGCTAAGAAAATGTGATATAAATTACTTTTAAAGTTTAAAATCTAATTAATTATAAAAAAAAATTCGAAAATTATAAAATATATTATTTACTTAAAATAATAAAATTAATAATTAATCATATTTTATATTTATATAGATATATATTTTTAAACTTATTTAATGTTTATATTAATAACAATAGCTAACAAAAATTCTTAAATTGTTTTTTTTTATTTTTATTTCTTTTTTTTCATCTTTTAGAATTTTTATCACCTTTTGATTCTTTATTAGATTTTCTACCCCTAATATAATAATAATAATAATTAATTACATGCTTTTCTTTAAATAAAATGAGAAAATAATTCAATGTTTATAATAGTATTATTCTTTTTTATATAATTTTTAATATTTTACCTAGAATCAGATCTATCAGTTCTACCTCTTGATGAATATCCTTTTTTATTATTTTTACTTCTACTTCTGCTTTTACTTTTTTAATGCTTTTTTTAATAAAAGAATAAAAAAAATATTTTTTATAAAAAATTACTCGTTTTCTTTCTTTTTCTTTATCGATTTTTTTCAATATGGCTTTAACTGCATTTTTTCTTTCTTTTAATCTAATTATTTCATCTCTCAAAAATTAAAATCCTATTGATATTAATTTTTATTTTTTAATAAAAAATACCTTAGTGTATTTTTCCTTCTAAATGTGTTTAAGCCCTTTTATCATTATCATTAGTAATTTTCCAAGCTCCACAGATATCACAAACTTCCTTTTATGCTAAATTACTATTAACAAGTCCATTATCAGTTTATGCAATTAATGTTTCTTTTTAAACACGCAAAGCTTCTGCTTATTCTGCTAATTTTTCACTTTATTCTATTTCTCCTTATGCTCCTAAATTTGCACTTTATTCTAAAAATATTTTAATTTGATTTTCCATGTTATCAATTCTTTTAAATATAAATTTTTTTATTTAACAATGATATTTTTTTAAAAAAATATAAATTTACTTTTATTAAATTTCTTTTGGTCTTTCTACATCTGTAGCAATTTTTTTTTCTGTATATTATTTATTTTTTTATATTTTATGATCTATATCATTAATTTTTTTTAAATAAAATCTATAGCTTGCTTTATTATTTAATATTCGAATTCACCTCTTTTATCTTCAGCATCATCTTAAAATTATCTTTTAAAAAATTCATCATGTCTTTATTTACATCTTTATATATAAATTTATTTATACTCTATTTTTAATTATTATTTATTTTTACGGTCCATCATCATAATTTGTATTTGGAAAAAGTTCTTTATAACATTCGTCATTGCTTATTAAAAAGTATGCACATACCTTTTTTTTTAATTTTTTTTTTTTTAAATTTTTGTTTGGAATTAATTTATTTTTATTACTTGTTTTTTTTTTTTTTTTTAGTGTATATATATTTTTTTCAATTTACCTCTTTGTCAGTATAATGTTCTCTTCTTTTATTACGTTCTCTTATTGATAAATTTCTGTCGACACCAAAAAATTAGTCAAGTAGAAGCCTGCTTTGATCCATATATATTTTTTTTTTTAAGATTTTTTTATATTTTTGTGTTTTTTTTTTTGTGTCTCTTAAAAATAAATTAATTATCTTTTTTTTTGTTTAAAAAAAAAAAATATATGTAAATATTAATTTATATATTAATAAAAATGTTATTATTTTTTTTAATTAAAAATTTATAATTAATTTATGAATTTTTTTTCTTATTTCTTTAATTATTTGTAATTACTAAAATTAATAAAATAAGATAATTTTGCATATAATAGTTCTAAAAAATTAATTTAATACTATTAATTAAATAAAATAGTTTTAAGGCTTATAATAACAAATTGAAAGAAAATAAAAATAAAATATTAATAAATTATAGACGTTTTTTTAACAAAAATACAATGACACTAAAAAAAATTAATTTTTTTAAAAAAAGGCAGTAAAATAAAAAACATTATAAAAAATATACATTTTATAATAAACAATAAATATAAAACAATCCACAACAAATAAATAGTCATAATACAAGCCTTAATTTTAAAGAAAATTATCAATATAAAATATTAATAAACGAAAAATAAAATGAAAATGCAAATGCAAAAAAAGGATTATAAAATACTCCTTAAAATAAAAAATAAAATTTAAAATATAATAATATATATTTTTTCAAACATATCTAAAAATGGGAGATAAAAATATGAGACTGATATATGCAAAATAACTATGATCTCAATTAATATTATTATCTGTTAATTAATAATTGATATCTTCCATATTTTCGAAAGTAAAGGCATTATTATTATCATTTTAAAATCTAGATAAACTATTTTAATAATTATTATTATTTTTTTCTAATTATTAATATTTTTTTTATTATTCTATTTACATTAAAAATTTATCCTCTGCTTATTAATAATTGAACCCAAAAATATTATTTAGGCCTTAAAATTTATCTTAATTTTGATCTTTTATATATTTAAATCTTTAACTATCTTAAATGAACATTCCTACTTTTTATTTACTTATTTTTTCCATTTTTTTTTATTATTTTCTTGAAAGTTAATATCCAGGATATAATGGAGTATCTAAAAATTGAGCATTTTGAGGTTCTTTTATATAATTTTCTTATATTTTTTCTTCCATATAAGGTTTTATTTAACTAAAGTAATTTTTTTGAATTTATGTATGCCTATTAAAATATGAATTTTAAGGGTTTTTTTATTATATTGATTAATTTTTTTAAGTGATATTTTATTCTTTTTAATTAAACATTATTTTCTCTTCCATCAAATTTTATATTGCAAAGTTTCTTACACGATCGTTATATTCGTTTATAAGTAAATAATATTATTTAGTATCATTTTATTAATAATATTGAAGCAAAAAATTAAAGTATTCCTCATAATGCTTTTATTTAAGTTCGTTTTAAATGTTTTTTTTTTCTTTTTCGAATTCTAAATCTTCTGCTAGTTTTCTAACTTTAATACCTAGTTCGAGATTTAAATCTCTTTTTAAATCAAAAAGAACTTCAAGTAAATCTTCTTTTTTTATATATTATTCATTTTTTTGAACTTATTTTTGGCAAAAATCTTCATTTTTACTTACTTATTGCCTTTTATAAGAAATATTGCTTAATATCTATTAAGAAGGACTGTTTAAAAAAGATGTTTATTAATCATTCTTATTTGAAAAAGAAGGTTGTATTTATACATTTGATTATATTTTATCTTTTTCTAAAATAGGTATAGAAAAACAACTGCTTTTTTATTTATTTTCTAACTCATTTTAATATTTTTCAAGCTAATTTTCTGGCTCTTTAATAGTTCTTTAATAATTTTAGGAAGTATTTTAAAAAGTTTTTTAATTTTCTGGATTTTTTTAAGCTTTTCTAACCACTCTGATTCTAAAATCTTCATTATTTTCATATTTTTGAGAATCTTCATCATCAAAATAGTCATTATTTAAATTTTATTTTTAAATATCTTTATAAGGTTATACTTGTTAAATACTTTAAGAAAAATTTTAATTTTAGTTTTTTAAAAATTATTGCTCGAATTTCAAAAGGTTATTTTTTTTCAAATTCTCATTAAATAAGTATATATTTTCTATAAAAATATTTTAATAAAACCCAACAAAAGCCAAATGCGAATTCTCCTCTTTACTATTTTCTTGTAAAAATTTAAAAAATATCTTCACCACAAACATATTAATATACAAAAGACATCACAAAATCTGCTAAATCACCTACTTATTCTCTAAAAAGGCCATTTTAATGAATAAAAAGCCTAATTTTATACTCTTAATGGTTAATAAGAAAATATTTTTGGAGAAATTCTTTAATCAAATAGATTAAATTTTAATTTTCTTCTTCTTATTCTTTTTTTAAAAAGGATACTATTATAGCTTTTTTGATTTTTATTTCATATATAGTAGAATACCAAATTTCCTAGTATTTAAAAATTATTATCATAACATCGTATTTATTTAAATCTTCTTAATTAATGATTTCTTTCTTATCGAAAAAACTATATATAAATTTATCAATATTACTGTTTTTGATTCCATTAAAACATTCAAAAGTGACAACATGAAATTTCTCGTGTTTTTTTCTCTAAAAAGTTTTTAATTTTCTATATATTTAATAAAAGTTCTTAAAAAATTTTTGCTTATTTTTAAATTATTATTTTATATTTCATCATTTTCTTTTTTTTTTAATAATTATAATTTTCTAAATATTTTTCGATTTCTAAAAGAGTGAAATAAGAATATTTTTCTCTTCTGTTTTTTTCTAAAAATCTTTAAGGATGCTCTTAAATTAAAATGTTAATAAGAATTTATTTCTCACTTTCTTTGTTATTTTTTGTTAAAATATTAAGAATTTTCATTAGTTCTTCTTCATTTCAATCTCTTAAATCTAAGAGAAGTCTCTCGTTTTTTATAAATATTCTTTCTTATATTAAAACTCCAGTTTTTAAATCTCTACTTCTTATGATAGGCTCCCACTCGCCGTTTCGGAATATTCGGACTATATGAGTTTCTATTATTTATTTTATATATGTATTTCTTATATTTTGTATTTATTCATGAATATAATCAACTATTTCTTAAAAATCTTTGTCTGGAGTAAATTGTGTAGTATCAATTATATTTTTGCATATATTACATACATAATATGAATCAGATGTTAAAGGAAATTAAGATTTATCATAAATACATTAAGGTTTTAAACAATGTCTATTTCTATAGGCTATTATGGGTTTATCTTTATAAGTAATTGGCATTTCAATAGATTATGTATTATGATTTTCATCAAAAAAACGTTGAATTTAATTTCGATTTTACATTTTTAATAAATAATAAATTAATTTGTAAAAAATTATTAAATAAATATTAAATAATTTGATAATTTAGTTATTAAAAAAATTAGAAATAAATATATACATGAAAATATTAAATTTAATAATAAGTTTAAAAATAAAACAATAATAATTTTTTAATATAGTAGATAAACAATAGAAAATATTATAAATATAAATTTATTATAAATATATATTTATTATAAATATATATTTATTATATATATTTATATTTTAAATACATATCCATATATAAATATATATATACTTCAGTTTTATTTATATATAGAAAAACTTGGTTCTTCATTTTTACTAAAAATAGGAGTATTTTCTATACTATTATATTATTAGCTTTATTAATCTAAATAATTATTATTTTTTTATATAAAAGAAAAACTATCTTATTTTTAAATTTAATTATCTTAAACATTTATATTATTTTTATTTAATATTTGTATATAAGGTGTATTTTTTAAATTTGTTTATTTTTCTTTACTTTATTTTTTAGAAAATAGAATAATTTATTAAAAAAAATCATTATTAACATTTTTTTTTTTTAAGAATATATGTTACTATTATCTTTAGAAACATTAATTTATTGTGAAGTATTTTAAGTTATTTATTTTTTGTCATCATAATATTTTTTTAAATTATTATTAACAATATCTAAACTAATATCAGATTTTTAAATTAATGTATTGTTTTTATTCCAATTTTATTATTTTTATTTTAATTTTTAAACTTATTAAATAATATTTTTTGATTATTTAATATCTAAATGATCATTTTCTTTAATAATATTATCTAATTTTTATTCATTTTTTTTAGAATTATAAGCTATTGAACATTAATCACTTTTTGAAAATTCAATATTTTTTTTTATATTTGAAATATCTGTTTTTTCAGACTCATATTTCTTCATATTTATTATTTTTTATTACTAACCTTTAAACACAAATTATTATTTTGTTTCAGATTTTGAAAAAGAATTTAATTTAAGATCTTTCATTATTTAAGCAGCATCCTCTTTTATTTCTAAATCTTCTAACCGTAGTTGAGATGTTAACGGACTTTGTATTTTTACAGCATTTTAACTAGCTTTTTATAATAAATCATTTAATGATTATCTTTAATAAAAAGAGTTTAACTTCACATCTATATTAAGTTAGGAACTTAAGTTATTATATGAGTTAATTTATTATTATTATTTCTTTTATTAATACGCTTATGATTATAATCTTATTTATTCTATTGTTTCTATTTTAAAATTTTTATTTATTAATTTTAAAATTATATTAAAAATCATTTTTACTATTAGGAGTTTTTTATGACTATGTTATTATTGGTATGTTTTTAATTATGTCCTGATATAATTTGCTTTCTAAATCTAATTTTTTAATTATTATCTTATCTTTTATATTGTCTTTCATTAAAAGAAAATGTATTTATTAATATTATTATTATTATTATTATTATTATTATTATTATTATTATTATTATTTTATTTTTTTATTTAAATTAATTTCTGGTATATATTTAAAATAATAATTATTTATATTTTTATATAGTGTTTTAATTTTTGTTTTTATTATTATTAATATTATATTTATCAATATTTATTTTTTTATTTTATTATATTAATTATATATTATTAAACTAAAATTAAATTTAAAATTTATAATTAAAAAAAATAAATTAATTATATTTAATAAAAATATTTATATTAAAAATTTTTATTAAGAATTGTCTACTTAATAAAATTATAATTCATCAAAACTTTATAAGAAATTTTTTAGAGAAATATCTTCAATAATTATATTTTTTTTTCGGCAAAAGATTAACTTTTATTATATAAACAGTAAGATAATTAATTAGTTTTTCTCTCTATGAATTCAGAATAATTGAACTTTTAAAAGCTGGAAGTCCCAAATATTGCAAAAAAGCAATTAAAATTGCATTAAAAAGACTTGGAAAGCGCAGAATAGCTAAATTAAAAAGAGCTCTTTTAGAAAAAGCTGTTAAATAAGAAAGAAAGTAAACAATAAAAATAAATAGTTTTATTATATATATAATATTATATATGATATTTTTTGTTTTTTAATACAATAATATAAGTATATTTTTTATGTATTGTTTTTAATTTTATAATTTCTTAAATATTTAAATCTTATTATTATATATTTGATATCTATTAGATATTTTTTTTTATTAAAATGTGTTATTAATAGACTTAAGAATATATTATATATATTATAATAAGGCTTTATCTTTATTTTATTTTTATAATAAAAAAAAATATAAAAAGAATTAATAATATATATTTATATTTATAATGTAATTTAATTATATATATATATATATATATTAATATTAAAAGAATTTTATATTTAAAGTATATATGAGAGTTCAAACAAAAGCTAATGTCATCAATAGTTGAAAATTTAAAATAAAGAACACTCCGAAACTATCATCGACTAAAATACTAGCAAATTGATTTTTTAAACATTGAAAATTTCCTGTCTATCTATCAGCACAAGGGACACAAACACCATCAATTAATCTATAAAAGTTTCTAATACTTTAAGAATCAAGCTTAGTAATAGCTTATTTATAAACTATCTACATCTCATTATTTTACATACTATTTTCATCATCATCTTCTATGTCTTCATTTACTTTTGACTAGAATAAAGAATAAAAAGTTTCACATTCAGCCCCTAAATTACTTTTACTAATAATATTATTTTTACATTTAAGACACTTGCTTTCAATAATATTATATTCTTCGCATTCATTTTAATATTACACACAAGCATTCTTACTTGCATCCATATAATATTATTCCTATTCAGTACTATAGCATTATTAGCATTTAAGTAAATCTTCATTACATTTATAACATCCTTTAGGACACAAGATGCATTTCGATTCATCATTAAGTTTATATTAATCTTGACATTAAACACATCTAATTTCATTATTAAAAAACTGATATATATCACATTCGGCTATATATTCTCCAATAATTCCATCATCTTCCCTCTTATAAAAACAAGGTTATCTTTCATTATTTGTAAGAAAAACATTATCAGTACAACGATTGCATTTAAGTCCTATACTATTAGATGATTTTTCACATTCTTCACATAAACTCCATGACTAAATAACTTCATCAGTTAATTCTTCTGGTTAAAGATTTAAAGTTTCCGGTTCATAGCAAGCAATACATTTATAAAGATTCGTATTTTTATCTAAATCTAAGTAAAAAGTTGAACTAGGGCAATTCTTGCAACTTAGTTTTCCATTAATTACATCGAATGAATTACAGTCCGGATCATTAGATTTTATACATTCACCATTTAGAGGATTAAGAAAATGTCTATTTAAGCATTTAATGCATGTTTTACCATTTGTAAATTAGCAGTTTGGAAAATGATTACTTAATAACAAACATTGATTATCTCTTAGAAAAAAATTTGCTTCGCATCTTATTATTTAAGTTGGTGATTTACATTTTTTAACATTTTCAGGACATTTAATACATTGTGTCATATTTATGTCTAAATAATAACTTTCTTAGCATTAAAGGCAAAATGTATTATCAACAAGGTCTTTTCGTCTAACACAAGATAAACAGTTAAAAATTTACTCATTACATCTGACGCATTTTTCGTTTATTTTAATGTAATTTTTGTGGCAGACTTAACATTATGCATTTGTAGAACATTTAATGCAACCTTTTTGATATTTATAGCAGGATAAACATTATTTATAAAAATCAGCATCATCTATCTATTATTTTATTAAAATAAATTAAGAACTAAGAAAAAATTATTCCTAACACTGTAAACATTATAAATGTATATCTGATTATGATCTAAATGTAAGACAATTTTGAAAAACATCATTTAATTTATTACATACTTTTTTTATTAAAAAAATTAAAATGAAATAAAAAAAAAATATTTTTAAATAGAAATAATAAATAGAAATAATATATATATATATATATATATATATATATATATA